TAGACTTTTAGTTTTAACTGTCCGTGTCGCTTTAGTCTTCTCTGTTCCGTGTCGCTTGGGTCACGTGCGTGTATTTTCATGTACCGCTGCGTTGCTCTGTGCCTTACCAGAAGGAGAAAAAAGAGAAGAAATCTAAACGCCATGACAAATCTCGGAGGAGAAGGACTCAGACGGATGAAAGTGAGCAGTCGGAGGATGAAGTTGATTCCCCGAAACTCAAGAAATCAAGGAGCAGAGTTAAACAAAACGGTGCTATGAGAGAAGAAAGCCCGGAGAACACGAGATTATCTTCCTTAAGCGTTAAATCCACCCACGGAAAACGGCACAGTAACTCTAGTGAAACGTCAAGTGGTGACGGTGACAGTGATCAAGAGCAGGTAAAACTAATGATTGATGTAGTTACATTTAGTTGATTTAGTGATGAGTCTAGCTTTCAACTCCTGCGTTGCAACAAGGTTAAATTTAGAACAGGTTATTTTTCCTTTTTTTCCCTCCCTATCAGTGGAAAGACCGCTGTAAATTTTCAGGGTTTAAAGCTACTTGAACTGTCCCTTCTGTCGATTATTTGCAAAAATTTTAAATCCTGGAAGTCCTGAAGTTCTAGATCAGCGCACCATGGTTTTCTCACTTCAACAGTCCGGTACTGTGGTAGCTGTTGGCAGAAGGACAAGCTGCAGTGAGATGGTGCTTTAATATGATTCAGCACCATTAGATTTGATTGTCATTGCCACAAATGTAGTTTAATTGACTTCTTTTTGGTATTATAAGTACTTCTCTAGTGAAATAAGAATTACTTGGTTTTAGCTAGTGGAAAAAGAAAAGTTACGTATTAATATGTTTTTATGTATCATCTTTTTAAATAGTAGCTGTTAACGTGGTAAGATGGTCCTTAATCTAATAAAATATCATGTTGTAATGTTTGTAAGTCTTTTTAAGTCTTTCTGTAAGAATGTTTTTATTTTGTCTGACTATTTCTATTTGATTTAGGTTCCTTTAAAATTGCTTGACATGAACCACATTTTTTTTTTAAGGGAAACATCTTGCTGTACCTAGGATTTGTTTTGAAAAGTCTTTATACCTGTATGTTCTGCGGTTGCCTGGTTTTGTTTCTTGTTCCAATTGATGCTTCACAAAGCATCCAGGGTTTCCATGGTTTCCAGGGTTAGCATTCTTTCCTCATGCTCTGGATTCTAATCACTGTGCTGTTAAAACGTATATGGAAGTAATGCATTACTGAGTAGGTAAATTTCATGCTCTACCTCGTGATGTGATTCTTTTGGGGATCGATTTCTGTATCTGTAAATCACTGTGCTGTATTCATTGGGAAGTAGGAAATAGGCTAGATATCAAGCCTGATTTTTGCATATTACAACATAATAAGTTAGGCCATTGGTAATTATTTAAAATAGAATGTTAAAATTTAATTAAGAGTTCTCAGAGTTTTAATTTGGGTGTTTTGCATTTACAGGGTTATGCCATTTGATATGAAACAGTCTTAACTTAAATTACAGATCACTTTTGTTTAACTTTGAAATATGATAGTAAGTAAAACAAAGAAGGTTCTTTAGCTGCACCTGTGAACTGTCAATGAAAATTTGACCCTTGGGTATGATACCAGTGCCTGTGCCATTACCTTGAATTTTCTGATGGTCATACGATATTCACATGGAACGTTATCTGATTTTTTTGTTTACCTAACAGGAGATGACTGAAGAACAGAAAGAGGGTGCTTTCTCCAATTTTCCTATTTCCAAAGGGACTGTTCAGCTTCTTCAAGGTAAATTTCTTGGCATGATGTGACCACAGAAAGTAAATGATCTCTGTCATGTGTTTTTATGTTCAACATATTCAATCAGTGAGCTTTGAGATGTGCTCTGCTTGTGCGTATGCAAGCACAGATGCTATATAGAAGGCATATTGATTGCCTACTCTAAACACATCTTTGAACATAGACGTTTCTGTTTGCAGTATTGCCCAGTTTAGCATTTACAGTAAAATTTTAAATGACATAAGCTCAAAAAACCCCCAACTTAATATGTGGAGAATTCTTCAATTCAGTTATTTCAGTGTGAGTAAAGGAAAACCGGTTATATTTAGTATCTTTGACATTAGTTTGTGCATGACTTAGTATCAATTAAGAGAAGAGTAGAAGTGGTTTTGACATATGTCTTATTTGAAAGGAAGATATTTTCATAGATAGGTGGGGAGTATTACATAAATAAAGCTACAGTACTTAAAAGCTTTCATTAAAGGCTAGTAACTTCATCTGTCCCAGCTAGCCCTGTGTCTGGGGGTATGAAGTGGGAAAATAAAATGGACAGTCCCAGGGCACTCTTTACAGATGACCTCTGTGATTAAATAAACCAGTGGAGGTGATGACAGACTCCTGACTTTAGAGTTGATGGAAGTTCTGCTTGGGATAACTTCCTCTGAAGAGTATGCAAGAACGCTTCTAAAATGATCTCATTAAGGAAGTCTGTTGAAATTGTCACAGCTCGAGGAGTGACGTACCTGTTTCCCGTGCAAGTGAAGACCTTTGACCCAGTATATTCTGGCAAAGATGTAATTGCTCAGGCACGAACTGGAACGGGGAAAACATTCTCTTTTGCTATTCCCTTAATTGAAAAGCTTCAGGGAGACTCACAGGAAAGAAGAAGAGGCCGTTCACCAAAGGTAACTACGCTTACTTAGAATGCTGCTTTTGCTTTGTCTTATGTCAGAGTGATTCAGAGTTTTAACCTGCTGGAAAAGTTCTTC